CTCTCTCTCTCTCTCTCTCTCTCTCTCTCTCTCTCTCTCTCTCTCTCTCTCTCTCTCTCTCTCTCTTTCTAACACATCACTAATAAAAATTAGCAAGAACGGTTGTCACAAATGAGTATATAAAAGATCTCAAAGAGACAATTAAATCGGCGGCATGTATTATGGTCAAAAGAAACGGGAGAAGCCTCTTACAACGAAATTAAGTTCACATTTTGCGAACGTGCAACGTTCTTCGATACAGCTGATTTGTTTTTCATGATCTTGACATAAGTTGTTACTTAAGATTATAATGAATATTTACAGATTCTCCGATTCGAAATATGCATAAAACATAATCTGTATAAAGAAGATATAACCACAATCAAGACAGGACTTCATGCATTGCGTCACTGCGATTTGGCATCTTTCAGCAAACTCGTCCAATAACGTCCGAGTCATTCGTCTTATTTTTTTTTCTCTTTTCCAGTGCTCGATTGTAGAGGGGCGTGGGAAAATCGTTATTCTGAGCAAACAATAGCGTAACTGCCGTCCCTGGCGAAAAGCTCGAACGTCTATGCTGAATAGCATTTGTACCATAAAAAATTAAGCTTAAATGATTTTATACACTATACAGCATCGCGTTTTTTATCGTACGTCGCGCGCGTCCGACAGAGATCTCTCCGCGAGTTACTGCGGTCGCGCGTCCAATTGATTCAATGAAACGCGGGTGTCTCCCTGCGCGAACGTGACTCGCCGATCGACCTGTCTCGCTTTAGTCGCGGAGAAAAGAGCGCGAGCGATAACAACAAGGATGTAGAAATACGCGTTGGTTATGCTCTATTTATCCGGCGCTGGTATTTGTGACGCGGCACACCGCGGCTGAAGCAACAGCACCGATTCCTCTTCCTCGGTAATGAGACAACGCGTGCATGGTGGCACGTGGATACCGCGGCATCTCATTCGCCGCCCGACACGGTTACTTCCCGCCACGTTGGTTCCTGAGTAGCTTGACTGACTAACGTCGACTGAGGCTCCGAGATGTCCGATGCGGCGGGGCTCAACGGTGGACTAGGTGTGGCGGGCGCCTCTTCGCACCGATTGCCCTCCGCGGCGTCCTGCTCAGTCTCACCGTCGCCGGTGAACGACGCTTCCGATTGCGCGGAGCTGGGGGCCTTCGACAGCGCGGTATCTTGCGCCCGCAAGGATATAGAGCTACCTTTATTGCTACTGCCATCTTCACCTGAAATCAACAAGTGAGTTAATGTAACGTGACATTGCGATTCTCAGGTGCAGTTTGCTATCCATCAAACGATTCAAGAACGGTTGGCTTACCACAAGGCCTAAGAACGAGGTAGAAGAGCAGATCAGAGAGGGATATTATACCGATTACTTTGTCGTCATCGTCGATCACTACTAGCCTATGGACCTACACAACATACCGCAGATAAGAATATAAATTTATGACGATATGATTCTACAATTATTCTGTAATTATCGATCGGACTTATAATCATAATCGCGCGCTCGGTCGAAGAAATACTTTACATACCTCCGCTCTGACGATCCTTTCCATTATAGTGAACAGCGTCTCATCCAACTTGCAACTCTGGACGCCTTCGAACCATTCATTGCGATGTTCGTTTGCCTCACGCAATGAAACGTCTAGATTATTGTAAGTTTTTTCCGCAGCTAAATTCTGCAAAAGGTAACACGTTTATAAACATTAACGTGACACTTTCAATGTCATTGGCGAAGACATGACGAGGAAGCGAGACTTACAATAACATCAAACTTCGAATAAATGTTCACTAGTTTTCCATCAGTGTCGACAATCGGTAACGCCGAGACTCTCCTTTCTACAAATTTTTTGAGCGCTAAAATTATGCTAGTTTCTTCCGTAGCTGTCTCTATGTTCTCGAAAGTGCCTATCCTCAACTCCCTCAGCGTTTTATTGGTGAAAGATGGTTTTGGTAACTCGTGGATCTGCAATCGAGATGTGTCGAAACAGATATCGACTCGTGCAAGGAATATTGTGCTCAGCAAATTGGAAGAAAGCCATACTCACATATAGGAAAAGGAACCTAAGTATTCGTTTATGTGTCAAGATATAAAGGACGTTTCCGGTATCGGGGTCTATCACAGGCAATCGGTGGATTCTGTTTTGTATTAAGGTCCTGATGGCTTCGTATAGCGACGCGTCCGGCCCAATGCTTACAAGAGGGCGAACTTGATCCTTCAGGACTTCTGAAATCAAATTATTTTCCTCATACAGTCTCTCTATTTATCCAGATGTCTATTACTTCTGACAAGGTGATGTTTAAACGGATCAGAAATTAAAATTAGGAGTTCTCTGATTTAGATTAAGGTTAAATACTACATAATGTTATGTATTATATGTAGTATTTGTCGTTGTAAATTAAATTGAAGCAAAATAAAATAAAATTGAAGTAATGAAAACCAAGCATATATCTTGAAAGAAAGAAACTTACTTCTCCATGTATCCAGCTCATGCTCCTCCAACTCATCCATTGTCACTGACGGACTGGTATAATACATCTGAAGTATCTTTATAAAATCCGTTATAGTCAGCATGCCCACAAACTGTTGCCGAGAGCTGTCCCATAACGGCGCGGCCCTCACACCTGAAAATATTTCATTACCATCAAGCACTTCACATGCAGACCGTGTGATCAATTGAATCGCGCAAGAGCTTCGACTCACCATTATAGACGAGAGCGAAGAAGGCCTTTTTAACTAGTAGGTGTGTGTCGAAGACGACTAGTTTCGCGCTGGTCGGTATTAGGTCGTAGCATTTGTGAAATTTGAAGAACTTAACGAAGATCTGCGACTCGTCCTCCTCTGAAAGGCCAAACAGTTCACAGTAGAGCAGAGCCTTTCGATTGCGACGCAGCATTTTCAGGTCGCGCGAGATTTTCACGATGTGCGATGCGTGTGTTAAAACTTCGGTGCAAGATCGACTCTTCGTATTCGAATGCGCGTGGTTTCTATTAATATCTCAGCGGGATTCATGCACACACTGATTCCCTAGTGTCGATAGGTTTAATTGAGTACAGAATAACAATCCCTGTGTAAATAGACAAATCACCGCTGGCGATCAAAGATTTCACACTGCAATTTTTCTCTCGCTTGGATCGGCACATAATTTTTGTCAAGTTCCTTGGCTGGGCAGTCTTAGCAACGATGCTGCTTTACAATGCGCGTCTGTAATCGTAACTGTTCTTTGGATTATACTATTATGATATTATCTTCCGTTTTTATGTATGCAATAAAATTATGATCGTTATTATTATATTTTAAACGAGCACAGTTCGGTTGCATACAATGTTACGAATCCAGCCGCCCGTTTCGTCTTCACAACGAAAATGCCACTGGCGCGACCATTTTCGTTACGTTAAATAATGTTCGTTTAAAACGGCATATTCGACGCGGCAATGTTAAATAATAAGATTGTTAATACGCATCTTCCTTTGATAGAGATATGGTGACATGATTTTGTGTTTCTACGAGTTAACAGTATTGCGTAATACACAGCAATGGGACTCGATTGAGCGAGCGATAAGTTCGGATTAAACACTTCGAAAACTCGCCTACTTTTGAAGCAAACGCGCGGGTGAGCGTCACTTTGTCGCGCAGTTTCATTATAAATGATAAGATAATTCTGTAATAACGACGTAGCAGAAGGCGACGGAAAATCGCATCGGACGAGCGAGTCGGAGAATTACCCTACAGCAATTAGCGATCTCCCAGAAGTTACGTGACGATGGGAAGTAAAAGCTCACGTGGTAAGTGGTTTCTGAGAATCTAATTACGCACGAAATGATGGCGCAGATTGAATCGAAATTCAGCTTCATATAACAAATGAGTCGGCTATCTCTTCAATATAAAGTCGATGAAAGTTCAATAATCGTGACAAATGAAATAAAGCGAGAGACTGTATTAACATTCAATTAATACAAAATATATAAAGAGCCTGTGCACGGGTGTAAAAGTGCAATAAATTATAAACAAAAATATCAGAAGAATTGAAACGTTTGAGCTATTTAAATTTATATAACTATAATAGAGTAAATTTGTATATGTAATTATAATAGAGAAATATTTAAAGAACTGATGTTTTTTATTTATTTATTGTTACATTAAAAGGACATAAGCTCTAATTAGCGTAAGCTTTAATTGACCTTTTAATATATTATTGATTAGAAAAATATCAGAGTATAACAAAATAAGATGTTGAGTAGACGAGCACTTTACCGCTGAGCTACACCTGATATTTTTGGTGGTTCTTTTGTGAATATTTTTATTTATAAAATATTCATTGCTTTTCTACAACTTTTCTGCACAGGTTTTATTGGCTTTATACTTATTTCGTATTGATTAAACATCATCACAGAGTCTAATATTGTCTCATTTGTGATTTTTGTTGCGCAATCCTATAATCTCATACAATTTAGAGGAAGAATTTAGAAGCACTCTGAAACGAAGAGACAGCTGGTCGACACTTTCGCGGCTCAAACCTGTCGAAACAAAGACTGCACGGCGGTTAATTCCAGCTTGACTCGAAACAAAGCCGCGTATTCGAAGTTCTAAGCGACTCACGAAAGAGGAATGTCGTTCGATTTCGAGCAGGCGTCCGTTACCGAGCCAACGTCCGTGGCACGTTACACGTCGCAGGTAATCCTTTTTGTTCTTCCGCGTAATCAAGGAAGATGCGTGAAGTGAAGGAGATACGTGTACACGCGATGGAAATGGCGAACTCTCGCGAAGAAATTGCCATCATGCCGGAAAACTCGGCGCTTACGCAACGACCGCCACTTTTTACGAAAGGTTCGCCAACGCTGCGCGACTTTCGAAACAGATGTTCGATTCCCCACGATCCGGCTGTCGGAGAGATCTCGACGCGACTACCACGGTGGGACTGACTCTAGCTTGACGCGCGGGAGAATGCGGTGCGGTCGCGAACAGCTACGGCGAGCGAGGTGAATTGAAGGTACGTTCCTTGCATGGCACGTATGCATATACGCGCACACACACACACACAACATACACACAGACGTTGCCGTGATACGGGAAAGAGAAACACCAATGATGCATCCGCGTCCGAAGGAATGCACTAACTGCAGGACGCAACGGTCGTGGCTGTCATGAATTTCGTAACGCGCAAATATGATAATGTGGGAAATTTATTGTTGAGCACGGTATGGCACGGGAATTTAATGTACGTGCAATAAGCTTCAATAAAAATCCTCGACATTCATTACCTCGCTGGTCTTTCGAAACCAAACAAACACAAATGTCTAAAATACAACTCAGAGACATCGAAAAGGCGTCTGAAACCAGTGTCTTTTAGATGCCTCTGAGGTTCGGTTGCACCAACGTTATTTTGACTTTAAGCGAAACTTAAACATGTATCCATCTTTATCTTTCTTTCTAAATAAATAAAGACACATATTTAAGTCTTGCTTAAAGCTAAAATAACGTTGGTGCAATCGGGCCTAAGATGTTTTTAAACATTTATGCTGCCTGGGAATCGTGCATCTAAAAAATTATAATTTTATTCTTAGCAGAAATCTTTTATTTATGACCTCAAGAGGATTTCCGCTAAAAATAAAATTTTATTTTTCGGATGTTCCTATCATATCCGGATAACTTTTCTGGATGAAAATTATATGAGGACTTGGTTAGATGGTGTGTGTGCTGATTAACGTGGTACATAAGTTTGAAAGGATTTTAATGTATTGAATTAAATATGGAAAACTCAGATAGGGGGAAGATTATGTGTGTAGAAATAAATGCGTAAACAAAGTATAAGCGAAGGCAAAATAAGGCATTAGGTTGTACAGCAAGAGAAGGACAGAGTTTGGAGTATTGTATACAAGGACAATATGGTACCCGTTAAGTGAAATGTTTCGCGTCCTCATGAAACATAGAAGCACGTGTGCGCGTTTCGCTTCAACAAATAACTCCGAAATGAGATGATTATTGCCGATCTAACTAATAAAATGGAATTTTCATTACACGCAAAAACGCATCCCTGATCACGCATCAAACACAGTCTACTTGTATCGCGTCATTTCGCGGCCACTTTACACTAACGTAAATAATCCGATAACGCAAGCAGGGAATTAGTCGTCCTGGCAACGTCGGTCTCCGTTATCCGGATTAAAGTAGGACAAAAGCGCGACGGATGGATATAAAATTCACCGCGAACGAGGAAATCGCTCCTCTTCTCGATTTGGCAGTCGGCTGGCAATTCGCGTTACATCGCGCGATACCTTTGGCCAGGATCCAAGCTAACTCGTCCTCGAGGGGCGGGTCCTCCACTTCGAACTCCTTGATGAGGTCCTTCGAGTACACGGGATCGTCGTCCTGGCACCACCAGGCAGCCGCTACCTGTCTTAAAGCGGCGCGTACACTTTCGGAATTCGAGTAGTAGTGCAAGGCCAGCATTATTTAACATTGTCAGACGCGGTGACCGACGTCACGGTCGAGCTGTCATTTCACCGGACGCTAATCACCGTACGGCGATTAACGCGATTCGCCTGAAATATTCGTCGCGTTCTTCTCGTCGGGCTGAGTAGTTTTTTTACGCGGAGCCTTCGTCTCTCCGTTGCCACCGATAACGGCCTTTTGTTCCTCAGAATACTGATGCGGAACTTATCCGGAAAGAGAGAAACTAGCATGAAATCGCCGATGTCGTTCATGGTCGGCGTTCATTTCCGAAAAGCGCGTGGCGAACAGTCGGTGCGTCGTAAATTCGCCGACGAAACGATTCGGAGATTCTTCTAGTTTATCCGTCGAGAGTCCTCTCAAGACTCGCTGCCCTTATCACTGGAATTCCCTTGTCACTGGACGGCCCTTTCGGTTTCTACTTGGTCCTCTCGTCGCCGACATTTCGCGAGATCTCCCGAGGATCGTCAGCTACGTCGCTGACGAACGCAACGACTGTCTGGTCGCTTCGGGCCCATCGTCGGCGTCTCGCTCTAGATGCCTACTTCCCTCTCGCTCGCTCTCGCTGGATCGCTGGCTTTCTGCTTCCTCGTCGTCATCGTCCAAGCATCGTGCCAAGAATAACCGCCGAGTCCGAGAGCGCTGCCAAAAGAAAGAGAGCGGAGCGCGCGGATCTCCGTATCGACGCGTTCATGGAACTTTCCTCGCGCGACACGTCGCCTTTTAATTAATGTAACACGATCGAACAAATGTACGAACGTTACGACGGAGGAGGAAGGCTCGATATCAGGGAACACCTGGTCGAAGAAGTTGACACTCTCTGTCAGACGGGATGATGAAACTATGCTAGCCAAAACCCCGTCCGACCAAAGTGCGACCTAACTACTATCGTCATCCCTCCCCGCCGCTCTCGCCTTTCCACGTGTCTAATCTTATCGAACTGATGCGTTATGCTATCTTTATTAGCTTTCGTTTCATCAACCGAGTAACCCTACACGACCATGAGCCAATCTCGAGAGTTCTATGAAAAAAGAAGAAAAGAGAGGAAAAAAACGTATGACCGATCCTTGCCATTTAATTTCAGGTTATAACACAAACTGCGAGAAATGGAAGAAATGTCAAAGGGCTCTCGCTCGAGATTATTTCATTTTTTGCTTCGCACAGAAGACATGTGCCATGCATGATTTGTGAATCGACGACAGATTTGTTCGTGAATCGACAGTCACTGTCGCGAGCCATCGTCCCGAGACGTCGAAAGAATTCGGGAGGGAGGAGGGAGCAACGTTACCGGCGCAACTTCCGCCACGTAATAATTTATCGAACGCGGTCTGCCCCATGACCTAGACCTAGATAGAAGCGTGCGAATGCGACGCAGAATGCGAGCGCATTGCACGAGGCGAAGTTGTATCGCGAGTCCCTCTCCGTTCTTCCCCTTTGCTCTCTCTCTCTCTCTCTTCTCCCCTCTGTCCTCCTCTTTCTCTCCTGTCCACACTCTCTCTTGCTCGCTCCCTCGCTCCTTCTATCGCCGTCTCACTCGCCCCTAACGCTGCGAGCCAGCTGGCCTCCCGGGAACTCATCGATCGCCACCATACACCTACCACCAGAACGACACGACGGTCGGAGGACCTAGTACCACGATTTCAAGGGGAAAACTATACACACAGGCGGAAGCACGTGGAGGATGATCCGGGAAACAAGCTGTGATGCTATTCAAACACGATACCCTTTCCCTTCACGATATAAGCGTCGTCGTAGCACTTGTTCGTTAAAACGTGAATGCAAACGTGCCCTGCGATAATTAATCCTAATGTGTCGCCATTCTTTCAGGACACGCGCCCGACTAACGTTATGTGTGCCGATTCCGTGAAGCTCGTAATTTTCGCCGAATAAAGGAAAAAAGTTCTTCTAACCCACGCTGCGTTAAGTGAAATGAAGAGATATGTGTAAGCGTGAGAGAGAACTTTCACGTGCTCGCTCGTTCGCTCTTGCAGTGTAAAACTGGACTTTTTCAAATCTGCGGTCGTAGCTTTTCTCTTCAACGATCCTAAGTCTCTTTGTTGCGACAACGAATGTTCGATACTAAATTTATACCTTCCGATAAAGGGAATCTCCTTTCAACACACACACGCACATCGCAGCATCGACTTATTGAATATAAGTACCCTCCGAGATCGATATAATAGAAATTAACGTGAATCTACTGGCGCACGCGAGAGGCGCACCGCACTTTAAGAACTGCCTGAGTTTACTTGTTGCGTCGATTACAGGCAATCAAGCCCGGTTATTTCGGATAAGCTTTTCTCGGACTACGGTGACTCTCACGAGTCCTCTCGCCCTTTATGCGAGAAAAATCACGCCGCGATCTTTCTTCCTTTCTCCGTTCCCGCCCGGCACAAGCAATTCTCGGAAGGTCGACGATCATCAAGAAATAATCCTCTCAAATGTGGCAGAACTCACCGAGATCAGAGAGCGAGACTTTCTCCAGGAAGGGATCCACCACCGGCAGCTGCAATGAAGAGGAATAAATCAGCGATATTCACATCGAGTGCGATCATCACGATCGCCTCATTATTACTACGCACGATAACGGCTTCATTAAGAAGATAGAGAAAGAGACTTGCGCGTTAATTCCAAGACATCATTATCATTAAAATATTAGTCATAAAAATATTAGTTCGAGCAATTTCTCTGATAGATCATTTCTCCTTCTTTTAATTAAGCGATTCAAGTGAGGTGTGAAATGGGTCAAAGGTAATCTTATTAAAATTAGCTAATATTATTTCCTCTTTCACGCCAATTTCAAATGGCATGAAAAGGACTTTATTCTAGACGCACGTAAAACGTTAAAAACTGCCAAATTTAATTTGCGTTAAATTTAGCCGTTTGATTCCATTTTTCTAATACGAACGTCATTTATAGACATTGTCACAGTTTGAGAATCAGAAAGGCATATTTAATGTTGGACCAAGATACGTTCCAACGTTTTTTCCCGAATTGTCGCACTTTCTTCCACGTTATTCTCTGTCACTTCGTTCGTCGTTCTCCCGAATATAACGCGCCCATGTAAGAGACGGTGGTATTACGGTATTGTCCGTGAAAGATATACCAGCGCTCGCTTCAGCAAGGACCTCGGGCTGAAGGTGTGTCGTCTCTTGACGTTCGCGATCTTCGTGTACCAGCTCGTGAGGATCCCGGAACCGGTGGCCTGCGCCACGTCCGAGCTCTTGACGATACTTCCGCCGGTCGGCTCGCTCGTCTGACGTCGGAATAACATCTCCGATCGATCGACTGCAGGGCGACAACGAGGGGCTATTTTAAAACGAAACGTAACGCAACGTCGTTCACACATCGGCGACGCAGCGGAGAACTCGCGACTCGAGCGCGTAACCGAGCGCGAAAAGAGGAACAACAGATCGCGCGGCTCATCGATACCGTTTTCACGTACCCGTTCGCCGTCGTCGTCGACGACGACGACGATCCGGCGTTCGCACAGAGAGCGCGAGATCAACGATGACCAGCGGCCGCCGCTGATCGCCGACTCGAGACTGGATCCCGCCCGCTTCGTCAGGACGATGTAAACATCGTCGTGACGAGCGCAGCCACGGCGTTAACACGCCGCTTAACACCTTCGGCCACCCGCGAAAAGGTTCGCGCGAGCGTGCGCGTCAGACCACTCGGAATATTCTTGACGGTGGCATAACTCCTTCGCGCCGCCGGCAGATCGCGACGAACCGCGCCCGGCCAGACACGTTGCTGCGCTGCCTGCCAAGAGCACGCGATTGTCAACAAGTGACACCTCGCGGTAATCGACTTGTCGGCCGTCGTGAGACTCGAGAAATGCTCTTTCAACGAGTTACAAAGCTTTCGTCACGCTCACAATGTGACACGAGCTCGTTTCTAGGATTGACTGGAGAGCAAGTTGTCCGTGCGCTTGATTATGTATATTCATTGTGCATAAATTATATGTATATCAATTTTTTGTATGATATGTACTATGAGAATAGTATGTATACCTTGTGTTGAAAGTTTAAGTACTCGCGTCTAAAGAAATAAAATGTCCAAAATCGAATACGCATCCGGCACTTTGAGCTTAATCAATTGAAATTCTCTCTTTGACTAAAATAATCGGCAAATCAATAATCGAAATTAATCAATCATACGTGTGATTTGAAATAATTTAATCGTTTGATAAAATCAGTTATCCATCAGTGTACAGTTACATCGGTTTAATTGATAATTAATATCATCAGTTAATGAAATTACTTGTGATTATATATATATATATATATATATATATATATATATATATATATATATATATATATATATATA